ACACAACAAAGCAGACGCGTTGAGCCGCCCCGGACATGTAGCAGGCATCCAGCTCGACGGGATAAACCCTCTGCTCAAGGGTCTATTCCAACATGGGTACTCCGTGGACGCAGAGATCGCTACAGCACAGACCAAGAAGCTGTTACAGTGGGAGAAAGACTTAGCTGTAAGGAAGGGTTCAGGAAAGATTTGGGTACCGAATTACGCCCCGCTACGGCAGATCCTATTGGAGGAGTTTCATGACGTACCATACGCGGGAAATTTTGGGAGCAACAAGACGTTAGCAGGGATAGCGAAGTATTACTACTGGCCCGGGATGGCAGCAGACGTGCAGCAGTTTGTCACCTCTTGCGACACGTGCCAGTGGATGAAGAGCAGCAAGCAGAAAAAAGCAGGGTTACTTCAGCCTCTACCCGTACCGGAGCAGCCATGGCAGGTCGTTAGCCTCGACTTCATCACGGGACTTCCTTCGACCTTACAAGGGCATGACGCTATACTCGTGGTGATCGACAAGTTCTCTAAAATTGGTCACTTCATCCGGACCAACGCCACGGCTACCGCTGAAGCAACTGCTCGCCTCTTCTTCGACCGCATCATCACCATCCACGACATCCCCGCTACACTCATCTCACACAGAGACCCCAAATTCACGAGTAAAATCTGGAAGGAGCTCATGGGATTATTGGGGACCAAACTTGCGATGTCATCAGCATACCACCCACAGATTGACGGACAAACAGAGCGACTCAATCAAGTGGTTGAACAATTACTGCGCACAGCTTGCAAAGACGACGTCAGCCACTGGGACACACAGTTACCGACCCTAGAGTTCGCTTACAACAACGCGTCACATGAGGCCACCGGGAAAGCTCCTTTCTTCCTGTGTTACGGACGGGAACCACTCACACCACAACAGCCAACTACTCCAGCACACGTCCAAGCCGCACATGACTTCGTCACCACCATGCAGCAGCTATGGGAGAAGACTCAGCGACGTCTCACCACGATGCAGAACTCCCAGAAGCAGTATGCCGATCGCCAGCGACGTGATCACTCAGTAGCAGTTGGAGATCAGGTGCTTCTTGACACGCGCAACTTGAACCTGTCTCACCTTCCATCCAAACTCCGGCCTCGCTTCTGTTGTCCATTTCTCGTGGAGGCACAGGTGACACCAGTTACATTCCGCTTGCGCTTACTAGATACATTCACAACGCTTTCCATGTCCAGCTACTGAAACCCTATAAGGACCCCAACCAACGGTTCCAGGGACGGCAGCTACCGCCACCACCACCTGTTCTCATTCAGGATGAACCCGAGTACGAGATCGAGTGCGTTCTAACTCATCGGCACCGCGGCGGCAAGACCCTCGACTTCCTGATACGCTGGAAGGGATACGACCCCACTGAGGACAGTTGGGTTGCAGAAGCTGATATGGGCAACGCACGCCGTGCTCTCAAGGACTATCTTGTCAAGCAGGGTGTATCTCACGCCACCCAGCTTTGAGGGGGGGGCGTGTGAGAGTACGACGGCTTATGCTAGCTATGATTGCTTGCCTTTACTTTATTATGCTATTTCTAGCATAGGATAATTATATGCATGCATGAATTGCTTGATTTCCTAGGTTAGGTGCATTACTATATTTTATTATAGTTCTAGCACTGAACCAGGTTACGTGTACCGAACTCAAGCCTATTTGGTTTCCACCGAATTGGTTTATACTGAGTTCGGGAAGGTTCTGTTCGGGGCGCTTCGCGACCCTCAGAACATTCGCGTAACACATCACAAAAACCCTATGCCAAGTTTGGACGAATTTTGATTTCGATTGTCTTCGCATAAAAAAATCCGGAGCCAATTTGGACCGACGGTTGGAGTCATTTGATAGGAGCTCCGAGACACATCTCGCGACAAGGTTTGGCTCGGTTCAAATTCCAATTTGGCACGCGAGCTTTTCCGGATGACATTCGGGCGCAATCCGTTTTGTTGCAAATTCGTGACCAAATTATTCAAAACTAAATTCTGTTTTTGTTCATTTTGGATATTGAGGATTTCAAAATTGCATTTATTATTGCGGTTTACAAGAACCATTATTCAGCATTCTAGCAACAAGCAGTCTTAGCACCAGGTCAAATAGGCTACGCACTGGCGGGCCTTGAAAGCGCCCGGTGGGCAAGGACGACATCTCCAAGGTCGCCGTCGTCGATGAGGAACTTGTTCGGAAAGACGAACGCACCCATAGCCGGATCGTGGGGGATCCTCCGCTCCACGACAGCAAAATGGATCATCTGTTTGACCTTTTCGCACCACTCCTGGTAGTCTGGCCTGTTCTGCTCCGGCTGGCTACTGATTCGCTTGCGACGCTTATCCTGCAGAAGGGGCCATTCGATCTGCAATGTGGTGTTGGGTTGGGTGGATGGTTTATGAGGAGGGTAGGTTACGGATAAATGAGGCAACTGAAAGCGGTGATGCAGTCGTCACTATCTACGTAACTACAAAGGCCTAATCGACCAGGGTTTTAGCTGAAGTACAGGCAAGGGGTTAAGGGGATGAGGCATGGGGGTACAAACACATATCTACATCCTTACCGAAAACAGGCCCCATGCCACCATGCGGCTCTTGAACTTGGTGAACACCGCCCCGCCCCTCTTGAAGGAGAGCTTGAACGCATAAGCGAACAAGGGGTTGCTGAAGGGTGTCCCAGTGGCCTTGTCGAAGTGCCAGTTGAGGGCCCACTGTTCTGCTTTTTGGCAGGGAGGGTATGGGTTGGAAAGGGTTTTGTAGAGAAATCAAATGGGGGGATGAGAGTCAGGGTGAGCCACATCACACGGTGATATGTAGCTGCCAAGGGGCATATGGTAAGGCATATTGTGTTTTCGAGTTGCACTGCACATACCATCTCTGTACTCGGCTAGGAGTTGATCGTCGTCGAACCAGGTCGTTGGGTGTAGCTCAGTGGGCAGGCTATCCACGAGATGGCTGTAATCGGCAAGGCCCATGCCGGTGTATGCTGCTGGCCTGAGGGTGGAGTTGATAGTTGACCTTGTTGAGGACAGCTGGTGGTTGAAGACTCCCATGGTTGACTTGTCATTGTGCAACCATAGCAGCTTCATTGCCTCGAGCCCTTCTGCAGACAAGTGGACAGAGAACGCTTCGAACACTTCCTCCGGTGCAGGGTAGTACTGTATTTTCTCCGGCGGGTTCAGAAACATGAGCTGAGAGCACACTAAGTAGGCTTTGTTCTGCGCAGGGGTGTAAGGTATACAACACGACATGGAAGAGAGAAACCAGCAGTTATGAGGGTGGCCGCGTGACCATGGGATGGTGACTAGCAACACTGTTTGAACTTGCCACGTCACACCCTGCGCCATCCGACACGTCCACCAACAACCCGGCCCACTTGCCACGTCACACCCCCCTACCACAAGCCACGTCACCCCCCACCCACCTAACACGCCTCGCTTCGTCATGCGCAGTGGTCACGTGTACCATTTCTAACCGCCACGTCATCCCCAACCCTCACCTTCCGCCACGTCACACCCACCTGCATCCGCCACGTCATCCCCAACCCTCACCTTCCGCCACGTCACACCCTCCTTGTCCGCCACGTCCACCAACCAGCCCCACGTGCCACGTCACACCCTCCTGCATCCGCCGCGTCCACCAACAACCAGCCCCACGTGCCACGTCACACCCTCCCACCCCATGCCACGTCACCCCCCACCCACCTGACACGCGTCGACTCGTCACGCGCCGCTCCCGTGTACCATTCCAAACCGCCACGTCAGCCCCAACCCTCACATTCTGCCACGTCACACCCTTTTGCATCCGCCAACAACCCGCCCTACTTGCCACGTCACACCCCCCACCAAGAGCCACGTCACCCCCCACCCACCTGAGACGCCTCGCTTCGTCATGCGCCGCTCACGTGTACCCTTTTAGGGTGCCACGTCATCCCCAACCCTCACCTTCCGCCACGTCACACCCACCTGCATCTGTCACGTCATCCCCCACCCTCACCTTCCGCCACGTCACACCCTCCTGCATCCGCGACGTCCACCAACCAGCCCCACGTGCCACGTCACACCCTCCTTGTCCGCCACGTCCACCAACCAGCCCCACGTGCCACGTCACACCCTCCTGCATCCGCCGCGTCCACCAACAACCAGCCCCACGTGCCACGTCACACCCTCCCACCCCATGCCACGTCACCCCCCACCCACCTGACACGCGTCGCCTCGTCACGCGCCGCTCCCGTGTACCATTCCAAACCGCCACGTCAGCCCCAACCCTCACATTCTGCCACGTCACACCCTTTTGCATCCGCCAACAACCCGCCCTACTTGCCACGTCACACCCCCCACCAAGAGCCACGTCACCCCCCACCCACCTGAAACGCCTCGCGCCGTCATGCGGCACTCCCTTGCACCCTTTCATACCGCCACGTCATATCCCAACCCTCACCTTTTGCCACGTCACACCCAACCCGCATCCACCACGTCCACCAACAACCCGCGCCACTTGCCACGTCACACCCACCCACCCCATGCCACGTCACCCCCCACCCACCTGATACGTGTCGCCTCGTCACGCGCCGCTCCCGTGTTCCCTTCGAAACCGCCACGTCAGCCCCAACCCCGCCCTTGTTGCCACGTCAACCCCAACCCTCCCCATGTGGCCCGCCACATACCGGGAATGGGTTTGTCTCCTGCAACACTAGCACTCGTGCCTTGTCCACGGCGCTCATCGGCGGCGGGGTACCAGCCATAGGCAGGGCTGCCGACCCGCCGGCATAGCTGGCAGGTACTCCACGACGCAGGCCGAGCTGTGCAAACATGGCGTACATCTCAGACCGCAGCGCCTGGAACTCCTCCCGTGTAACAAACTGCTCGTGCTCCGCACTTTCACCTAGGGCACCCATGAGCGGAGGAAAAGGGTGTGAAGAATCCCCCCTCTGGCCAAGGGGATCAACGTCTTCTGCAGCAGTCCCGTGTGCCCTCACACTATCACGCTGGCGGGAAAAGGGGAGCTCAGGGAAGGGATTGGCATAACTGCCTGCCTGATGCCCACGCGAAGGATCGGCGAGAGGGGAGACCGCCCTGCCCCGGACAGGAGAAGCGTGGAGTTGCCGAAATTGGTACGAGGGTGAGGCGAGTGGGGACTGCGTGACGGGGGCGGGTGGAGGGGATTCGGATTCCTCTCCTCTTGGCGCGCCTGGTGCCGTCGCAGCGACTTTGCTCGGGCCGGCCCATGGCGTGTAGTATCTTGGTGCTCCGGAGGAGAGCGGTGTAACACTCGCTCTTCCGGCAGCCTTCGTTAGATGCATTCGTTGCACGCTTACGGGCGGCCCAATGCCTGTAACGCGAGGGGCTGAGATGTAGAGGGAGCCGGAAAATTTTTTTTAGAGTCGATCGGTTTCAAGGCGGGGCCAGACATGCATGTATATTCAGAAAGGTTTGAATCTAGATCAGGTTCAGGGTTGTACTGGTTTGAGACAAGAGGGTTTACCTTGCTTGGCAGATTCGTCGACCTTCTCCTTCCCTGCATGGGAGAAACAATGTGAAAAAAGGGTGTTTTTTGGCACGGTTTAGCAGATGGTTCAACACGTCACGCCAGTTTTATTGGACACAATGCTCACCTTTCTGCTGTCCCTTCGGTTTTGGGGCAGCCTGCGCCTTCTCGTTGCCACCTTTCCGCGGGGTGCTTTGGCGGACGCTGCGACGTTTACCGGCAGGTTCTTTCTTGCTGGTACCCACTGGAACCCCTTTGGCGCGGCCACCCTTTCCTCCTCCATCCCCTTTTGCTCCCTGGCTCCCTTGCTTTTTACCAACCCCTTCACTTTCGACCTTCACCTTACGCGCCTTCGGTTTGCCCGATGCTTCGCCGCGCGCAGCGTCAACTGCCCCGCGTTTTCGGGAAGGGCGAGTCCGGCCCCCCTCCTTCCCTGTACCACTCACCCGTCTGCCACGCCCGCCCCGTCCCTTCACTGGCGCCACATCCTCCTCCTCCTCCTCCTCCTCCTCCTCCTCCTCCTCCTCCTCCTCCTCCGCTGCCTCCTCCTCCTCCTCCTCCACATCCTCCTCCTCGTCGTCACCCTGCTCCTCCTCCTCCTCCTCCTCCTCCTCCTCCTCCTCCTCCTCCTCCTCCTCCTCCTCCTCCTCCTCCTCTGCCTCCTCCTCCTCCTCCTCCTCCTCCTCCTCCTCCTCCTCCTCCTCCTCCGCTGCCTCCTCCTCCTCCTCCTCCACATCCTCCTCCTCGTCGTCACCCTGCTCCTCCTCCTCCTCCTCCTCCTCCTCCTCCTCCTCCTCCTCCTCCTCCTCCTCCTCCTCCTCCTCCTCTGCCTCCTCCTCCTCCTCCTCCTCCTCCTCCTCCTCCTCCTCCTCCTCCTCCTCCTCCTCCTCCTCCTCCTCATCCTCCTCCTCCGCTGCCTCCTCCTCCTCCTCCTCCACATCCTCCTCCTCGTCGTCACCCAGCTCCTCCTCCTCCTCCTCCTCCTCCTCCTCCTCCTCCTCCTCCTCCTCCTCCTCCTCCTCCTCCTCCTCCTCTGCCTCCTCCTCCTCCTCCTCCTCCTCCTCCTCCTCCTCCTCCTCCTCCTCCTCCTCCTCCTCCTCCTCCTCCTCCTCTTCGTCCTCCCCGCCATCATTCTCATCTTTTTCATCCTCCCCAACATCCGCGTCATCCTCCTCCGCTTCCTCTTCATCCTCCTCTCCCTCCGCATCCTCCTCCTCATCCTCCTCCTCCTCCGCATCACCGGGGTCTTCATCGCCCCGTTTCGGCTTTGTTCCCGTCGCTGCTTTTTGCCTCTCCTTCCGCCGGATGCTTTTCTTGCTGCGGGTCGGCCCTTCTGGCGCAATGCTTGACCGCCCGCCTTGCCACTAGCTTCCTTGGCGCCTCGCGGTGTCCCAACTGCTGCGCCTCCGGCGTCGTCAGCACTACCTGTCGTCTGCCGCCTCTTCGCCCGCGTAATGAGGTCCCCGGGCACGGCGGTGTCATAATCGTCCTCCCCATCGCTCTTCCTCTGCCTACGCCTCCCCCGTCCACCAGAAGGTGGAGAGCCACCGACCAGCCCCACCGACTCGTGCTCCTCCACCTTGTCCTTATCCAGCACGGCTGCAGAAACTTCGACCATGATCGGCTAGAGCAGCGTCAGATGGTGTTGCGTTGCCGCCGCCTCGGACTCCTTGGTTGCGGCATGCTCGGCGCGGGGATCGCCTCCGTGATTTCCCTCCGTCGCCGATCCCTCCATCTCCGCCGACGGGAGTGCAAGACTCGCGCTCCCTCGCCCCGGATCTTCGTTGCCGCCAGTGGTGCCGTCTTTACTCGGACCGGGCTCGGTTCCAGCAGAGGCAACATCCGCATCTTTGTTCACTGTAGAAACACGCTTGCGTGGCGTTGGTTTAGGCCCCTTGTCTTCCGCTTTCTTGCCGGCCTCCTGTTGACCGCGCGCGACCTTTTTTGCCGCCGCTTTTTTCTGCCCAATGCCACGAGCGACGGACGCATTAGTTTTTTTAGCGCCGCCACCACACTCCCTATCGATTTGTTTAGACGTCCTCCTTGTCGCGCGGCGGCCGGCCTGTTCCTCCTCCATTGCTTGGTTACGTGTTGCACGTGTCATGGTAATTGTAGGAGGAGCAAAGTTGCAAATCGCGCGGAAGGGTTGAGCCGGTTTCGAAAGGGTTCTGCAACTGAATCCCACGATGGGATTATCGACGGTCTATCACTGTTATGTGTTTCCGAAAACCGCCGCTTCAACTAAATCTGTCATAGTAGCCACTATGCTTCGCGCTAAGGCCGATCTGGAGAGGCGTGTGTCAAGGCAACGAGCAACGTCAAAGTGTTGGTCCGGGGAGTGACGGAAGCAGGTGGGTGGGACACGAGGGTGGTTGGGGTGGGTTGCGAGACTAGAGAGAGTAATGTAACCCTATTAGGCTATATTCGACGGTGTACGTGTAGCCACCCTAGCATAAACCCACCTACCGCTCGATCTCAGCCGCTCAATGGCTGAAGTACCTCTTGGCTGATGACTGTGTTGCGGGGGGAATCGTTTGAGATGCGTCGGCCAATCACGGTTGCCAACGCATAAATCACTAAATTTTATTCAAACATACAACAATGCATTTCATCAAACTCTAAGTTGCAAATGGTTTACCACGGGGTTGGGGTAAGTTAATCGGTGATTCTTACATCACACACACAACGACCGTCCAGAATTATTACTTGTGACAGATGTACTGTGCACTTTTAGGCTTTGCCACAATGGTTTAGGGCCAGCGGACGACATTCTAACACGATTATCAATAGTAACAAACGTGAATCCGTTGTGGTATGGTGTTGGATTGTCATCCATTCTTGCACAGACATTAAACAAGGTGCTTAGAAGGAGTGGTATGAAGCACAGGCCCAACGCACAAGCGTAGATGCGTTATCGACAGCCATGGTTAGATTGTGCGACGATGCAGCGTTCAGGCCTGCGGGTTGCGCGACATGGTGAATCCGTTGTGGTATGGTGTTGCATTGGCATCCATTCTTGCACAGACATTAAACAAGGTGCTTAGAAGGAGTGGTATGAAGCACAGGCCCAACGCACAAGCGTAGATGCGTTATCGACAGCCATGGTTAGACTGTGCGACGATGCAGCGTTCAGGCCTGCGGGTTGCGCGACATGGTGAATCCGTTGTGGTATGGTGATGCATTGGCATCCATTCTTGCACAGACATTAAACAAGGTGCTTAGAAGGAGTTGTATGAAGCACAGGCCCAACGCACAAGCGTAGATGCGTTATCGACAGCCATGGTTAGACTGTGCGACGATGCAGCTTTCAGGCCTGCGGGTTGCGCGACATGGTGAATCCGTTGTGGTATGGTGTTGCATTGGCATCCATTCTTGCACAGACATTAAACAAGGTGCTTAGAAGGAGTGGTATGAAGCACAGGCCCAACGCACAAGCGTAGATGCGTTATCGACAGCCATGGTTAGACTGTGCGACGATGCAGCTTTCAGGCCTGCGGGTTGCGCGACATGGTGAATCCGTTGTGGTATGGTGTTGCATTGGCATCCATTCTTGCACAGACATTAAACAAGGTGCTTAGAAGGAGTGGTATGAAGCACAGGCCCAACGCACAAGCGTAGATGCGTTATCGACAGCCATGGTTAGACTGTGCGACGATGCAGCGTTCAGGCCTGCGGGTTGCGCGACATGGTGAATCCGTTGTGGTATGGTGATGCATTGGCATCCATTCTTGCACAGACATTAAACAAGGTGCTTAGAAGGAGTTGTATGAAGCACAGGCCCAACGCACAAGCGTAGATGCGTTATCGACAGCCATGGTTAGACTGTGCGACGATGCAGCTTTCAGGCCTGCGGGTTGCGCGACATGGTGAATCCGTTGTGGTATGGTGTTGCATTGGCATCCATTCTTGCACAGACATTAAACAAGGTGCTTAGAAGGAGTGGTATGAAGCACAGGCCCAACGCACAAGCGTAGATGCGTTATCGACAGCCATGGTTAGACTGTGCGACGATGCAGCTTTCAGGCCTGCGGGTTGCGCGACATGGTGAATCCGTTGTGGTATGGTGTTGCATTGGCATCCATTCTTGCACAGACATTAAACAAGGTGCTTAGAAGGAGTGGTATGAAGCACAGGCCCAACGCACAAGCGTAGATGCGTTATCGACAGCCATGGTTAGACTGTGCGACGATGCAGCTTTCAGGCCTGCGGGTTGCGCGACATGGTGAATCTGTTGTGGTATGGTGTTGCATTGGCATCCATTCTTGCACAGACATTAAACAAGGTGCTTAGAAGGAGTGGTATGAAGCACAGGCCCAACGCACAAGCGTAGATGCGTTATCGACAGCCATGGTTAGACTGTGCGACGATGCAGCGTTCAGGCCTGCGGGTTGCGCGACATGGTGAATCCGTTGTGGTATGGTGTTGCATTGTCATCCAACATTGCATGGACATTGAAACCGTTGTGTTATTGTACGACATTGTCATCCATTCTTGCATATTCATTCAGCACGGTGCGTAGAGGTACACTACACCTCGAGAGAAGACACGCTATAGGTATTCGCTCCACGCAACAATCATACGTTAGGGCATGGAGTTATTGGGTACTTCCCGTATCGTTATCAAGTAAGGGTTGTTCAACATCAGTCCTAAGGATATGAATGTTTACTAGTTATGAATGACTTGAGTGTCTTGTTAAGTTGTAATTGTACATTTGCATTTCCATGTTTGTTTGAAGCCTCTTGAGCTCACCTACGTGATTCTGATTTCCCCCCTATATTGATTCGCGACACAATCACAGATCCAAACGGATCTCTTCCCGCTCTTCCTCATCCCCCTCGACTCTCACGCACGGTTCCTAAACACAAGTTCTTGACTCAATAGGCACGTTCTTCTCACCGTGCTCGCGACGCACACACACGACCGTGAGACTTAAGATCCTCCGCATTCTCCTCTGCTCACGTCGTGGTCACTCTAAACGGGGGCGACACGCCTTGTAGGGAAGACGGCCCGTGAGGTGGGCGGTCTGTATCGTGCCTGGTAACGACCACGCGGCTCGACATTGTTAGCCAGTCATAAACATTAGCGCCAATGTCAAGTGCCAGTCGTGCAGTGATACAAGCCGCCCACCACAGTGCGCGCATTGGCGATGATCGTGTAGCTGTCACAGGCTTCTTGAACGGAGTAATTAATGCGTTCACAAGCTTCATCACGGCTAGTAGCTTCATAGTCGATTTCTCGACTCTACAACGGATCCGTAACACATGGGCTCTTTACCAGGCGTCGTCTGCGAGTTCTGCAACAGATGGTTCCCCAACGCCCAAGTTTATGGCGGTCATAAGTCACGGCGGACCCCTTGCCAAGGACTATCCGCCGTGGCACGGCCGACGCGATCTGCACCGACCGCCGGTCTTCACGCTCTGCTATTCGTCCACGACATTCTGTCGGACGCTCCAGCCGCTCCCGGTTCACCTACAGCGTCTAACGCATCCAACGCCGTCAGTGTGAGCGGTCCTCCACGCGTGCCTGAAGCTCACGTTGACGAAACTCCAAACGACGTGAACGAGGGGCCTCCTGAAGATGAACATCAACCACAACCAGGAGCTCCTGCGGCTGACACGAGTGACCATCCTGAGAGCCGGCCCGAAGGGAGTCATGCCGCGCCGCCAACAATCATCTCCGGACAGAGCAATGCCACGCCCCTCAATCCGCTCCCGTTGAAGCTGCTGCATTTCGTTCGGCGCGTGAATGGCGGAATGGGAATGGCCGAGGTTGACATCAACGGCCTGCTTCAGCTAGTCGTAGAGCCCGGCCTTGCGCCTCTTGTGATCTTGGAGCTCCGGAACTGTAAGGATCTGGAGCGGTTCGAGATGGAGCGTTTGGCAGGGCTCAATCACGGATGGTCGGTGGCGACCTTCGAGATTGACGGTCATCCACCACAGCGCTTGCTCTTTCAGAACTCAGCCCAGGTAAGCCGACTTTGCATTCAAGGCCGTGAAATGATGATGAGGCACACAGGGTTTGCATGTACGTAGTTATCCTTGTATTAACCGTACACCCACCTTCACCGCCACTAACCATGCCTCTCCTCTCACCTGCCTTCGTCACCATACACCAGGCATTCGCTGAAATGTTTGGACATCCCAACAACGCGCCCGGCTTCAAGCTCAAGGCGCGTGTTGATGAGGACCCTGACGCAGGCGGCCGTCGCTATACCACGCCTGAAACAGGAACGTGGTGGAACGATGCTCAGGTAAGGAAAGACCACGTTGCCGCCCCAAACCCAATCCTTCCTCATGCCTCCATCGCTGCACTGATCTGTCAAGAGCATCTTGAGTACTAAACCGTGTGTCCGTTGCCGCTTTGTCGTGCACTGCAGGAACACTTCGGTTGGTCCGAAGTTGTGGGGGGGATCATCTTATATTCGGATGTGACGCACATGAGCATCAACGGCCGGAAGAAGGCGTGGCCGCTCATGATGACGCTGGCCAACATCTCCCAGGCCAAGCGATGGGGGAAAGCCGGGCACACACTACTTGCCCTCCTTCCTATCCCCCCGTCTGCAATGTCTGCCGTGGAGAAGGTGATGCTCTTCCAGCGTTGCGTCATCACCGTGCTGCA